GGGGGAGCTGCTCTCGCCCCCGGTGCCCCCGGCCTGCCCTGCCACCCCTTCCCTTCTCCCAGGGCCTGGCTCGCAAACGCACGTTGGTTATGCATGCCGACAGCCTGGCTTGACTTAAATGCCTGTGGTTTCGGGGTGATGAGGGATACGTGTTTTGTGACCGAAGGATGGATAGCAGGAGAAACACTCATTTCACTTTTACAGGGTAGATATGTAGTTGGTTTTGTGGCTTTTTTTTAAAAATTGGTGTCTCCTTCCTTGCCAGCTCCTCATGGTAATGACTTCTAATTCGGCTCTTCCTAGTGCCCCTTCATCCCCATCAGCCTACTGCCTTAACTTCCTTTGATTGTTCCCCATTACTATTTTCTCCACATGGTTGTCATGCCACTGTTTGGCTCTTCTCACTATTTTTGTCTTCCCTCATCTTCTGATAAATTCCAGAGCACTCATCAGTGTCTTTTATTCTTTCCCATGAGGCTGTTCCCCGAAATGTCTTGCATAAAAACTGGAGGAAATAGTAGAGTGAAAACATCTGTCTCCTGTACACCAGCTACAGCTGTAGGTCGAGGTGGAGAAGTAGGTTTTGTATATGTAATACAGATAAAGTAACTTCTGTGGGAAGTAAGGGTGTCTGCCTTGGACCTGCTTGGCAGCTGATGGCCTTTTTCATCCCATGGGCTGTTAGTGTGTCTCCCTTTAGGAAGGGAGATTGTTAGAAAATTGAGGTAATTTTAAATGAAATTCTGTAAAAAAAACTTTAAAAGTTCACCTTTATGTCAGTGGTATCAGCCAAGGACTGGATAGTCCCAGCTGCTAAAAAGTCAAGGCTTAAATCATAATATTGGCCAGCTTCAACCAAATCTGGCATTGTAAGAAAAAAACCTTAAAGATTAGCATCTCTGATTTATCAGTTAGATGCCTGATGAAAGGGAGACTCAAGTCAATACTGTCGTGACTCTGGCTGTGTATTCAGTTCCACCCATGTGGCACGCAGGGTCAGGAGGCTGTTCAGGGTTTTTCCTCTTTTGCTGGAGCAGGTCTCTGCTCCAGTTCACCATGTGCTGCACAAATGCTTGTAGCCATGTTGTGTGGAGATGTGGCTGTGCAGCTGGGGAGTTGGCAGCTCGGGTTGGCATTGCCTCTGAGGAAACACACATACAGCCAGAGCCCTAGAAGAAAAAAGTTACTGAAGCAGGGGCTCAACAATTAACAGTTGTTCGGTCTTCAGGATGGTCAGCTGTATGGCATTTGCCTGATGGTAGTCAGGATGTGTATAAGGAACATGAAAGACTTGAGGGGGTGGTGGCTGGAGGATGGAGGATAAGAAAGGGCATGAGTGGACTTGGGGGTGGTGGGATAAGAAACAAAGGGGCCATTGTGAATTTGGATAAGTGCAGGAATTATGCTCGGGAGTGAAGGGCACAGATCTGTACAGAATCAAGTGTCATTACTTTCAACTGGGTGAGATGACTCCTAATATTTTTTTATTTCCCTGGCAATTAGTCTAAAAGTATTGGAGGATGGTGGTGATTATAACATCCTTGGGGTCAGCCACAGGCCTGGTGAGCCTGCAGCTGTGGGTCCAGCAGCCTTCCCAAGAACGAGCAGCCACCTCTCTGTTCGGGCTCTTGTGCTGCCTTGCCCCTTGCGCCGTGCTGGTGCGCAACTGTGTGCATGACTGCCCGGCGAACTGGGAGAGTGATCTAGTGCAAAGTGAGCGTGGGGAATGGGGAAAAGAGACAGAGGTTGCTTCAGCAGCTCAGTTGCGCAACTAGAGCTTGATGGAAGCCACATAGGGATTTCCCTCATGGAAGGGGACTCTTCAGCATCCTTGAGTCCAGAGGAGCTGAAAACAGATATGAGAATCTGGTCTGGAGGTCCTTCTGTTACTGAAATGTCATATTCCTTAAAACAGTTCATTGTTGTTGTAAGCTCCAGGGTTCCTCAGGCTTGACTCTGAGCTAAGCTTATTGAATAGGCTCAGGAATTAGGTGACGTGTTCCTAATATTTTTAAAAATAAAAATCCAGGGCATTGATGAGAAATGCACGAGAATGGGAGCTGAGAGGAGGAAAAGGGAGGGAATATATAGTTATTACAGTGTCTATGTAATGCTTTCCCTCTGAAGCCTTACGTTACTGTTTAACTGAATGAATCTGCTGGATGTTTCAAAGCAAAAGCTTACACTTTTCTTCCAGTCTTTTACTTTGTAGATACATTTATAGATACAAAACTGTACAACCGTTTGTACGGGATCAAGAAAAGAAGTGTTGGGTAGGGGAGCTTTTGGCCGCTTCTTACAGTATTTCTATTCAAACTGTAACAATACAGCTTTATGAGCATTTAGTTGAATAGTTAAGAGAAGATAGGTAATATATGTCAGTAAGTTGTGTTGTTACTAAATCCAAAGTCAATTTCTGTATTGTGTAATGAGTGTTTGGAAACGCATGTTTCTGCCTTTTGCTTTCAAAACTGAAATAAGCTGGTTTTGCACTAGCCAAACTGGTCTAAAATTAGGATTGATTTTGCTTTTACTTCTGAAGTACGTTTTTCATTCAATCATGTAAGATTTTGTATTTTCACTGTACTTTACCAATATGAACTTTTTCCAGGTTCCTCTAAGATAAGTTCCCACTTAGTGAGGGCAGCAGGACTTTCCTGGGGCTTTCCTTTGCTCATAGTTCACTTAATATGGAATTCTCAAAGGCATGTAAACTACTTGAAAGCATGCTTCAGACTTGCAAAATTGAAACAGATATGTAATTAGTAAGGAAAGAAAGGATGAAATCTAAGGCTTCCACAACTTTTATTCTGCGATAACTAAAATTTAAACTCCCTTGTCAGAATTGACAGCAAATTCTATGTAATTGAGATGGGAAAAGAAGGTCACTCGTATGAAACCTTAACGTTTAAAGGGTATGGGACGCTACCTGTAGTGGGATGTTGTAAGAGGATGTTGTTGAGTCTGTATATATGCATGTGCAGAGACGAGAAGGTAATGCCTATTAGGATCTAAAAATCAAACTCTGCTTCTAAAGGGAATGTCTTTAGGTATTGCTACAGTTCATATTCCTAATGGAGTGATGCATATTTTTCACTAAGTGTTTGAAGTTACTAGTGCTTGGGTGGATGCTAGTATGAGACTTCTGGGCTTTTCTGTTCTTTTTTTTTTTCTTTCTAATTCTGTGATACAGATGCTGTTTAAGAAAAAGAGTTCTGGCTCAATATAAGTTGTCACTATATTCACTTCTTGCTGTCAGGAACTGTTTTAAGGGGCAGCAGTTTGAATTCTGCCTTTCCAAATATTTAAATGCCTGTCAAACTCAGCAGAGGCATCAAAAGTTTTTTTCTGTTCTCTAACAGTGATTTACTCTTGGTGATTATGCTGTCAGAATGTGAACTGCTCTTCATCTGTGCGTTAGGAAATATAATAACTTTAATAAAAGTTTAATAAAGTTATTAAATAAACTTTAATAAAAATTCTCCTGTAGCATGAGCATTGAAATTCTGAATTCTTGCCTTTTTATTTATTTAAAGATACAAAGTAAGGAAAACTAAATTCTCAAGTGATCATATGATTGCAGAAGTGAGTTGTGACCTCTGAAAGCAATATGCAGATGGATGACTTTATTTATGCGTGTATGAGGCTTTTTCTCAGTCCATCTTGTATACTTAATAAATTTCTATGAAACGGTGAAGAAAAAAAAGTGTTATTTTATGAAGTACCTAGGTGGAGTTGTATTTAATTAGCCTTGTGGCTAAATTATTTCTCAGTACGTGGTAAAATGAGATTCTACTTGTCGGTATCAACGTTTGCATCATTTTGAGGGGAAGGTTATAAATGGGAAGAGCAGTCCTGGTGAAGTATCTTGAGACAAAACTCACTATTTCTTTTGATTTGAGCATCTTCATCATTAAACTACACAATGCTTTCACTTTATCAAAGCAGAGTTGTTCTCTAAACAATGTGAATTTTCAAAAAAGAACAGCTTTGTGGAACAGTTGAGTTTAAAGCCTCTTTTTCCTTTTCAAAAACAGAAAGATGATGACATTGAAGAGGGGGATCTTCCTGAACACAAGAGGCCTCCAGCACCAATAGATTTCTCCAAAATTGATCCAGGCAAGCCTGAAAGTATCCTGAAGCTGACAAAAAAGGGGAAAACTTTGATGATGTTTGTCACGGTGTCAGGAAATCCCACAGAAAAGGAGACGGAAGAAATAACTAGCTTGTGGCAGGGCAGTCTCTTCAATGCAAACTATGATGTGCAAAGGTAAGCTGTTGTACACAAGGGTCAAGTTCTTGCTTTTACAGATCCCTTGTTTTTTTCTTCCTGAAAATCTTTTCACCTATTCATCCTATGCCCTTCCCCACCTCAATCATCTGCCACTATTTCTTTGTTTCTGTTTGTTTCTGTATCGGTTTATATACCACTTCGTTGGTGATATACCAATTGGTGACTAAGTCACGCTACAAAAATTCTGGTGTGGTGCACAAATCTTTTTAACACTTGTGCATGATCTATATACAGCCTAGTTGCTTTTTATCTCATTACTTTTCAGCTATTTACCAGTTTTAGCTGCAGTAGTTTGCCTTTATGTGCTTGATGGAAAACATCACACTTGGAAGACTTGCCACCACAAAGGGCTATTTCTTCCCCTGGCTGAAAAATGTGATTTTTCTCTTGGAGAGGGAGAGGATCATTTTGAAAAAGAGGAAAGTTGCATTCTTGAATTGAAGCTGAGAAGGGTTGCAGCAAGTGTATAAAGCAAATTTAATGCCCATTAGTGGATTTGACACAGTATCAAATTAGTTGTTAAGTTTTTCTTTGGGTTCTTACTCCTCCTTGGTTATTTACTGTAAACGTAATACGTTTTATTCTTGCGTGTGCTATAAAATCATTCTCTTGTCCCCATCCCCAGGCAACAACAGGAAGACCAACTTCTTGCTCTTAAATGTGTGCCTCAGTTGTGGAGATGTTCTGAATTAAGCAAAATGTTGTAGCGCTTGAAAGGCATGGGGCTAACTGAAAAAATATATATCTCTCCTCCAGGTTTATTGTTGGCTCAAATCGTGCCATATTTATGCTGCGTGATGGCGGTTATGCCTGGGAGATCAAAGACTTTCTGATAAATCAAGAAAGGTGTGCGGATGTTACTCTGGAAGGTCAGGTTTATCCTGGCAAAGGAGCAAAAGAAAGTGAGAAAGTGAAAAACAAAACAAAACCTGAAAAAGCAAAGAAGAAAAAAGATGCAGACAAGAAATCTAATAGCGTCAAAGAGGACAACCGAGCAACCAAACAGAGAGATGACCTATGATGGACACGTTAACCAGACTGAATACTGCTCTGCTGTTCCTTGAAGGGAAGCTAATTTTCTATACAATTCCTGGCTTTACTTGGGTGGGGAAGGAAAGAAGCAGAGGTTACTGAGATTAAAAGACTTCTGTGTTGAAATTCACCAGTTTACTTATTCATGTTGACCATTTGCGTAGTTACAGAAAGGTAATGTTTAATACCAGTGATTGACTACTTTAGTTTGTAATTTTTTTTTTATGCTTTTATTGTTGTTTAAAATTAACAAATCTGTGTGTCTAACATCACAAACTTAATTTAGGTGGAAAAGAAGAAATACAGTCTCAGAATACACCAATGTTCATCTGCAGTAGCTGTGTCCATCTTGGGTATACAAGTCAGTCATTGATTCATAGCTGCTGTTAGGTGGCAGGGTACAGTGCGAAAAGATTCTCTTGGAAGCCGGTCTCCTAGACTCACTTCATAAAAACTGCCTAAAGTTGCAAAGAGTAGTGTTACAGTGGCCAAAGATGGATGAAATTGTGGCATTTAGGACATACCTGGTTAGGCTGCCTGTTTCTTCAAAATAAAACTCATTCTGTATGTCCCCACAAATCCGCAGAAGCGCTTAGAAGCATGGTAGAAGCTAAGGTAGATATTTGGCTAATGCACTCCAAATCAGTGCAGAAAGGAGATTCTGTACCCATCAGAAGTGATGCTGGGACATTAATGGAATTACAGTACCCCTCATGAGCAGTGACGGGGTGAAAGGAAAAGTCAGATTCATGCCGTTCAGGTTGCTACTGCTGCCAAAGGACTGTGCCTGTGGAAGCAAATGTTATGTATGTCCCATTATGGGACAGTGAGCTAAAACAAATAGCTTTAACTCTGAAATTAATTAGTTTTACTGGTTTAAGGGTTTGTTTAAATCTGTGAAAAAGCACTAGTTACAGTACAGAGTTAAACTTTGAGTTAGACATATCACTTACTGATGTTTAATAACCAATTACACATTTTTGGGGTACAGATTCCTGACTGACATGCTTGATTGTAAATGAACATTTGATTTAAATACTATGAAGTTTGATATATGGGAGAAATTTGATTTCTCCTCAGAAGACTTTGTATACAAATTGGGAAGGTTTTATTATTATTCAGATTGTATTCAGTTAAATGCATCACTTAGAATTGTTTCCCTTCTGCCTTACTATGTCTTAAGGACTAAATGCACCCAGTATGTATGGTCCATATAGTTTTCCAGAGGGTGAGCACAGTATTATTTGTCTTCATTCAATACTACTAAGATGTTACTTTAATATTTAAGGTGCTAAAATCCAAGTGTTTTGGATAAAAGGTCCTAATTGAACCATAATGGTTGATCTTGTGCATTACTTCGGTATCAAAAGTGGGAAACTGTGACTTACTGAGTGCTTGTTCTAAAATAAAAGATGTCACGAAACTTACTGTTTCACTGAGTAGTAAAACCTTTTAAATAATTATGCATTAGTTAGATATTCGGGAGACAGATTAACTCACCTTTGGTTTCTGTACCTAAGGACTAAATAATGTTGATGATGGTTCCAGGTGATTGTTTTTATTTAATTTGAATTATATTTGTATGAATTTATGCTTAAAGAAACCTTACCTGCCACACATCATTAAACAGGTCTTTGTCTGGTTGAGTGGAAGAATGAAAATCATGTATTTCTTCAGGTTTAACTGTATTACTTTTCTATTCTACTATTAATCCAAATGTGTCCTGGAGTCGAAGAGTTTCTGTAGATACCTGGATATTGCATTGGGGAGAGATGTGCAGTCTATTTCTTGTTCATAACCGATTTATCACTTTACCAAGTGTTCTGGGTTTGCGCCTTCCTTTTTTGTTTTAAAGACTATTGCTTCTCATCACAAGAGATGAACGGAAGTTAGAGGAAACTATAAATATGAAATATTAGTGAGTTTTTTCTTTTTACAATTTAAATCTGTGATATAGAGATGACAGTTCAGATTATGATCAGAAACATGTGGAAATGCAGTTTCTGTAGTTTTCCTAATGTTATGAAACATAAACATGATTTCTTTTTTGACCAAATTGCTTAATTATTTAGCTCAGGAAGAACCCAATGCGAAACAGTATACAAATGAAACAAAGGCAGATTAGCCAAGGAGGAGAAATAATTACTACACTATAGCTATCGCCCAACTTTGGAGAATAGATACTCTAGGTCATTCATAAAATGACTTTTACAGTAGGCTGTGTCTTTTTTCCCTATATAGTTAAAAGGAGGGGGAGCAGCTTTGTTGAAATTCAGCCAGCTGCTTGACTGGGGGTGTTTTGTTTGGTTGTTTTGAGTCATTAAGTTGCCTATACCAAATGCAGGCGTGTTTTGTGCTGCATAGCTTATTTAAATTTTAAAGTGTTTGGAGTTTTGTTTTTGGTGGGGTTTTTTTTTTTTAGGTTTTTAATAGCAGTGATGACTTGAGGGTTGCTTTTTGATATAAAATACAAAATACTGCCTTTAAGTACCTTTTTTTTGGTCTTCCATTTTTCTTTAACCCTTTTCATGCGTTACACTCAATGACTAAGTAAATATGGTGGTAAGTATAATGTGGCAGTCTGGCAGGAACTTCTTCACCAGCCCATCTTTCTCTGGTACCGCAGTTCATAAGTCTACTCCAAAACAACTTATGTTCCCTTTTAAAACTAGTAAGTCCTTGAGACCCCAGCACTTGTCTCGGTGCAGTGTTACATAAGCAGGTGTTATTTTGTAATTATTTAAGAGGCCCAAACACAATATCACATACCTGTATATAAATATCTTCCAAAAGTTACTTAAGGTCATAAATGTTCTGTAAGTACCCCAGCAGATGGTGGGTTCTGCTTCATAGGCGGTGTGCGTTTGAGTCTCATCAGACTTCTAATAACAGAGTTTTGGCTCTATGTACAGGCAATTCAGATACAGCCTTTAACTAATTTCAACAAGTACGGTCGTGATTATAGCTCTTATTTCCTTATTTTTTCAGTACTGTACAGAGGTACATTGGATATCATCTGCTTTCACGACAGTTAAATATCTGCTGCTTTCTTCTACTCAGTGGTTTCTCTCTTCTGGTGTTGCAACTCAGTTTTCTAAGCTACTGTTATATTTTTAACCCAGCTGTCCTTGGAACAAACAGTTTGTCAATGATACTACACAAGATGTGGTTGCACTCTGAAAAATTTCCAATGGACAATCAACTTTTTATGTAATAAAATACTGGAACAAGTATTTGGGGGGCTTGTGGTGTTTGGTTGGTTTTTTGTTTTTTGGGGTTTTTTTTTTTAAGATAATTTTAAGATAATGTATATTGTGTGCCTTATCTGTTTTGCTGAAAAGAAAAATTAAATTCCATTTAAATTCCAGTCTGGAAGAGTACAAGTGCATCCCCTGTTCTTCAGGGCTTGACTTTATGAAGCAAATAAGCTTGTTTTAGATTGCTAGGACCAGGGCCTAGAAGACCCGAGAGAAATACCATGTGCAGTAAGGGAATGAATGCTGGTGGTTGAATTTATAACAAAACATCACCAACTACTGAATTGTACTAATTAGAGATGCAAGCACTGTCAATATTCATTTAAAAAAGGTGCGCCTTGCCGGTGCCATCATTATTGCATTGCTAAGATTTATAGATGACGGTGCAAGACATGTCCTGTAGCACCGTGCCTATTGCCAGTCTTACCTCGGTCTTTCTCTTCGGATGCATCATTTGCTATCAGGGAAGGTCGTGGTTCCCATTTCTTTCGCAGCTTCTCCTAGTTTATCTTTTAGCTTTGTTGCTGCACTTGTTACTAGGTGAAGTGCACATCTTTTAAATTGCATCTTTAAGTCTGTTATGACATATATAAAATATAACAGGATTTCTGATTCTCACGTGAGTGGTCAAAACATTTCTCTGAACAGACAGATCTGCCTTGGCTTCAAAAAGATTCTACATTCCTGTCACTGTTCCTGAACTCTTTCAATTTTCTTGCAGAAAGGAAATCGTAAATTAAAATACCATTTTTGTTAGGATACAGAACAGCCTACTTTTGTCTGATACTTGGCCACGGTTCTCACGGGCTTTATAGTAAGGCTTGGAAATTATTTTCAGTCTTTATCTGTGCTTCATTTCCTTTTCTATTCAAGGAGTAGCTTTTCCAGAAGTTCTTTGTTTTGGTTTGGTTTTTTTTAATTGCATGGGACGTTTCTAGAAATTCAGGGAGCCCATGCCTGGACAATGGGGATGGCCCCGTTTTACAAATACCCATTTCATTGGTACTCTCATGTTTCTAATTCTTAAGATTGCCATCCTACTATGTCTGTTGATACACTTTTATTTGATAATTCTGGGATAAAATGAACTATTTTTGCATATCGCTATTTTCTGTCTTTCATACCGTGCCATTTTAACAGGGACGAAACCCCACTGGATTCAGGTAATATTAAATTGCCAGAAGTTTAGAACTGCTTGGATTTATGAAGGGAAGAACAGGCCACTTGAATTTTGTGGTGGTGGTGGTTTTTTCTCCTCCAGTAGAGAAGTCAGGTAGTGTGAGGGGGTTGGACACACCATCTCTCTCGAGCAGAAGAGGTCTGTGCCCGGTAGTTTCTGCTTGGTATTTAAAAGGTTGATGTAACACGTTACAACCACGCACTATAGGGCATGCCGGCCTTTATCCAGAGGCAGCTGGTAAATGCTTTGTTTCTTTCCTGTGTGATGCTGCTTAACAGACCAGTATTTTCATTATTGATACTGGTGTCAGCTGGGGATCAGTTATCAGTGGCAATGAATTTCCATAACACCAAAAGCAGATCCTTAAGAGTAATAATTGTAACAAAGATTTTTTTAAAAAAATAAAGGGTTTTTTTTTTAATTATTACAGAGACGTTGGTATTTTGTGAGGGAGAAATGGGACAACTAAAGGAGTTTCAGCCTCTTCTCCATCTTACCGGCAAAGTCCAGCAAATACGTGTTCCTGCAGCACAGGGTTTTGCTACGCAGCCGGGCAGTGAAGGACAGTGATAACGTACTGACGGCAGAGCCTGCTGAAAGAGCAGCGCGGAGGAGACCTGTGCCAGGGTTCCTAATGTTCAGGTGCCTCGGTGCCTGCTGAGGCTCTAATAACAATCCTATTGGCAACGTCCTTGGCCTGAACGTGGAATAAAAAGGGGAGAGAGTGCATGAC